ACTCCAGTGCGAGACGGCAAAAGTCGTGCAGCGGCTATGCACTAAGTACAGTATATGTCTAACACTCGTTTCCATTCTTTTCCACCATGTCCCATTTCCCCGCGCTTCCTCGGAACCTTCAGCAGTTGCAGCCTTCTGCAGGGGCCTTCCGAACGTGAGTTACCCAAACGGTGTGGCAGCTGAAGTCAACGAATCATGAAATATCATGAATTTGGGATTCATTTGGATTTGCTCCCAGCAAACCGGGAACAACAATTAAAAACAATTTCCTCATTGAAGGGGATTCACCCAGTTCGGGAAAATAGCACATCGCCTTAATTATAAGCAAAATCAGGTTCATGAAGCCCTTCCTCCGTACTTAAACTCCCTGGACTCATCATGGTGGAAGTGGATGGCGGATTACCATGAAATCCGAATACCATCACTACGTGGTGTTTCACGAAACCATGATGCTTCCAGGCTTCGTGTGCCTGGATGGTCGTTCGCAGGCTTGCAGGGGCCCCAGGGTGTTTATTGATGAACAAATGAACATGACCAGAAGTCCTCGTGGACAATGACTTCATCTTGGACTTCTAGGAGGATTGTACGCCATCCTCTATGTTTGCTTTTTGTTTGTAGTTGATCTCGTCTTGGTGTCAATGTGACCTAATGGCTTGGGAATCCTTTCTGGGGAAACTGCTCGAAAACCCCTTGCGATACAGGTCATATCCACTAGTCAAGTGGTGGACCTACGAACGACACGCCGTAGGGTCTCCGATACGTCGAAGGGGTCTTGGTTGGGTTCTTCATTCAACCAGGCATCCTCAGCATCCTCACAACGTACAACCGTTCACAAAACCTCTTCAGTTCATCTACGAGCGGACAAACCCAGTATCACACCCATAAAATAGAAGGCATCAAAAATGATCGGACATGCAAAATGACATGCATCAACCCAAGGCCAAGGACCAGTGTCCCTGTCGCCTCAAGGCGACCGGAGGTCGACCTCCGGCGTCTCACTCTCCCCAAAGGCGACCGATACTGAGTCAAACGGGGCGACGCTCGACAAACAGAACGAAGCCTTTGGACCTATTTGGACCAATGCGAGTCCCTCCTTTGGGATTCTGCGAATCTTCATCTCCCCATTTTTAACAGACTTTTTCCAACCAAGCGGTGAATTCATGGTGCAGGTGTCGTCCTGTTGTGAGATCTCTCGCCCTCCCCTGACGCGAGATCTCTCACATGCCTGCCGCTGAGAGTTTACATCCACTTGACGCGCGCCCAGGGGCTGTGTGCCTCAAGGGCCCAGAGACTCGTCTCGACCGTGCAAGAGCGCGGCGTCGTTCCAGGGGCAATTGTGTGTGCAGTCCTTTTGGGCCTGTGCATGCCTGTGAGGTGCCATTCCATTTCTGCTTTCGCAGAGTGGGAACGTCTTTCTCATGAACACGCGGATCTATCACGTTGTGTGATCTTTATGCATCCCGTTTTGCAGCCTAGCGACTGATGTGTGTTGGAGACCTATTGCACCGAATCTCGGACGCCCTTCTCACCCTTCGGTCGTGTTGGTACCGCATACAAGAAGCGGAGGCAGTCGGCTTGGTAGTGCAGTCGTGAAAAAAGGACCGAGCCAACAAGCGCACAGAAGAGTTGTGTCATTTTGATTGAGAACATCCAATTCCGTTGGAGGATGCAATTTCTTGAGCATCGAACTTCACCCAGTCCCACCACAAAGGGCTTTAACAACATGAGGATTCTTCATGAATTAATGACTCTTCTGGGTAGGCATTGTGTTGGTTTGTGGGAGAGTAACTTCCACCCTCCAAAAGGGCATGCGTGCGGCATGTGCTGTTCAGAGGCCATTGGTTGAAAGTTGATCTCTGCCACAAACCAATCAGGGGCTCTTTGGCCGTTGAAGGAAGACCTCCATCCGAAGCATCTAAAATGACAGTTATCCCATCAAAAAAGACAGGTTTTGCAGATTTTAGGTTCAGGATTTCCATCCAGCATCCAGGTTGGATAAGGTTGAGGTTGGATGAGTTTGGGTCTGTCCTAAGCGGTTCACAAAGGCAAGCACACGGGTTCAGGCAAACTTGGAGTACATGCCGAACATAACGACTTCGACAGTGATTGCACACATGAAGCGAAACACTCTCTCCAACAGGAGCGCAAGCCACTCGTCAAGCTGGCTAGCAAATCCGGAACCCTCAAGGTCTCTGATGGTCTCTGATAGTCTCTGTGTCCAAACCCCTGAAACCACAACATCAGAGCTTCTCCCTTTTTGACCCCCAAAAACACCATGCATTTGTTTCTAAAGGGTCAACCCTAAAGAAATGCATTGTGAATAAAAGGACGGCTTCGTGATCCCTCATCGGACTGGAAGACATGGGCGGGGACTGGAAGTCGAACACCGCCCGTTTTCTAAAGGGTCGTGTTTCTGCCACTGGCGCAGTCGGGGCGCTCAGCGTCCCAAACATCGAAACGAAAGGACCAAGCGACCAGCGAGATGGTCCTTATTCTCCAAGGTACTCTGCAGCAGAGAAGGTGTGTCTAGTATCTTGAAGACCACCTCCTCAAAGGCTTGCTTGATTCCTTGCCTGGCAAGATCAGTTTCCCAGTTCTTCGTCGCTTCTGGCTGGGATGTTTATTTTGAATGTGTTTTTTCCACCTCCGTTCTCTGTCAGCTGATTACCCCTACAGGGACGACACAACGTCGCCTTCTCTTGTGAGCTAAAGGACCTTTCAGACCTCTCTTGTGAAACTTGAGAGGGTACCCCACCTTTCCCATTGGATCCTGTCTCACATTTTGAAGAACATATTGGCCAGAAGGGGATTCACCGGACTGATAGGGAAAATCAAAAGTAATCTGAAGCAAAACCATGTAGTTAGACCACCAAAAAAACCAAGCACCTGATGCGACGTCAGCGGAAGGTTCGTCTCTCTGTTCGTCAATCACCAAGCCACAGAACCAGACGAAGCCACGATCGTTCTCCGCCGTTGGAACCAGGCTTTTTGGCTTCTCTCCCTGTGAGATTGGTTGGGGAGCATATTGGATCGTATCAAAAAAGACCGTCATATTTGTTGTTGTGGAGGTGACCAGTTCATTAACCACGAAAAAGAACGTCATATTGTTGCGGTCTTTATGTGGTCATTATTTCATGGTGAAGAGTCTTGCAAACTAAACAGCAAATAAGTATCCAAGCTCCCCAAATCAAGGGGCTTCATCATTCACACCACATTGAATCCCAACGCCATACCTTCCCATTATCACAACTCATGACCAGCAAAAGGACATCAAGATTTTGCTACCTCTCCGAAACACAAGAAAAGACTCCATGCCTGCAAATTCAACATGAAAAAACCAGGGATCACAGGATATGCCTTGTTTTCCACGACTTTTCGTGTTCCGGTATACACTCATACGAAGTCTGCCAAGTCTGCACTCTGCCAAGTCTGCTCATTTTGCACCGCGAAGCGAGAAACTTCGCTACAAAGGTTTTGGCATGGACCTCCAACCGCGAAGCTGTTTGAAGTGGGTGTTGCCCTGGGAGGTACGCTTCCAACGCCTGATATCCGCCAACCAGTCCGCATGCCCCACTCGCTTCTGGGTCCAAGAAACAACTCAACACAGCTGGACCTCCACTTCTTAGATGTTTATGTCCACGTCGCTTGATCTGGTCACAAACACTTCGCATCAACAGCTGCAGCCGTTCCATGCAGCTCCTTGAGTCATTGAGCCTTCTTTGGGCCGAAAACACTCATGAAAACACTCCACCTGCTCAGGTGGAGGACTTGGTGCAACCACGCGGCGCAGCTCACTCCGCCGGCCAGCGGGACCACCGGGTGGCCGGGTCCGCCCAGTGTCACACGAGCTTGGTTCCAAAGGCCAACTCTACGTCGTGGATCTGGCCAGTGTCCAAGCGAAGCCGCACGGCACCTGTCGCGAGACGCCGTGCGTTTGGAGGCGTCCACGGTGGTTCCAACGGGAGGCGTCCGAGTTGGAGATGGGCCGAGGAAATTCGCACGCGCGAAAAGGTGGCACCAGATCTTTCGCATCCTTTGATTCGGGACGGGGAATGTTCAAAGGATAAAGAGCGTTCAGTGTAGAATAGTACCAACAGAATAATGAGGTCAATCTTGTAAGACTTGGTTTATGTTTGGTTTATACCACCCAGAAAGGCACAACGGCCCAGGCTTGCAACGCTGGACCGATCAACCTGTGATCCAGAGAACGAGGTTTATTTTGGCCCACTCGTTCTTCAGTATGATACTCACATGCCAGGGCTGAGTATGCTCACATCTGAGTATGGGCACACCACACTGCCGGGCGACCGGTCGGAGGCGAGGTCGCGACCGACCTCGACGTCGGTCCGGGGAGGTCAGCGGAGGTCGGTGGAGAGGAGATGCAGAGGACAATGCCCGGACGTCCTATGACAGTCAGACGGCGAGTGCACGGGGGAAGCATGACCTTGTGTAGCTCTCATGTGGATGGGGAGATAGGATGAGATAGTGGATTCTGCATGGGGTGAAGATACAGTCTTTCGACGCTTCGACACGGGATCTAGTCTTTAATGGCCAAACAACTGCTTGAACCTCATAATGCAGACACTTGATGAATCACCCCCCCGGTTATTCATCAAGAATCAGTCAGTCTGGACTTTCGGCAGCTCATTACAAAAAGAGCTCGTTGCCTCTTGCACCTTCTCAGGGCTGCCATCCACCAACTCTCCTCGTCTTCACTCCGTTCCTTCTCTGCTCGTCCCAACGCGACACGTCGCTCCACGTCGCTCCACCAGGGCACCACAGTTCTGCAACTTGCGCGACCGGAGACCCGACAGGAGTTGCTGCTTCTCAGGGTCCTGCCAGTGCGGATCTCCCAGAAAAAGAAGTACCCTACGAGGCTTCCTGGCCCACCATTGATTTGATGGATATAATAGCATGAAACCATATGAAACCCGAACAACCATCGTTTTATTAAGCATCAAAAGGCATCTGAGATTCGTTTGGGGATGTAGGTTTGTAGGGTCCAACTTCCTGAAGATTCAGTTGGATCCATAGGGAACAAGAATTCACCTCTTGGGGTGGATAGTTGTTGCTTCTTTTTTGCTGGCTAATGTCAAGCCTGGCCGGGAAGGATGGAAGCATCTACCAAACCATCCAAGATCCTTGAGACTCCAACGACCCTTCAAACAAGGTGGCAGAAGTAGAAGTAGAAGTAGAAGTAGAAGAAGAAGTAGTAGTATTAGTAGTAGTAGTAGTAGAAGAAAAAGTAGGAGTAGTAGCAGCAGCAGCGGCAGCAGCAGAGAATAAAAAAGAATTCAATCCATCTTCTCACATTGCAACCCACCTGCTTTAACACTAGTTTCCTGAGATTCCTGAACCGTACTTATATAACCTGCCATACCACTTGCATCAACATGCCCCTGTCATTGGATTTCACGGCATAAGTAGCATCCTTCACCAAACCTCGTGCACACTCTCATTCGTGGACTTTGCCAGAAAAGAACATCCCCCTCCGTGGTTTAAAGGCCCTGAAAGGCTGGACTGGAAAGGGATGGAAAAGGCATGAAAAGGCTAATGAGTGCACACAGACATGTACAATCGCTTGCTGTTGATCCACAATCGGATTTTCCGCTCCTTCACCAAGCTGGGAGCAGCGAAGTCCTGAACCGAACTGGGTGCATCGAAGTGAGTTGGGATTGAGCTGAGATGGGTGAAGATGACGGCCGATTTCCTTCGCTTTTGGACCCCCCAGCGGAACCTCCTCCAACATCTTCTCCACGCGATGTGTCGTGTGGTGCAAGGTAGACATGTCCAACATCCGGCGGCATGTCCACCCCGAAAGAGGGACATTCCAACATTCTTGAACGCGATGAGAGAACACATGTGAATTTCTTTGGGATGTCGGGAAAAAGGACTCGGTCAAAGAACGGACCAGCTTTGGTTCTCACACACCTGTGGCGCTGCATGAGGGGAAGCGCCGAAGGTCAAACACTGAACTCGGTCGACCGTGAGTTCGCCCGAAGGGTTGGATCCCGGCGTGGCCAAGTGAAGAAGACGAAGAGGTTTTTCAAGCGGTCACAGGTCACAATTCTCTAAAGAGGTCACGAACCATCCAAAACATGATGGTCACAAACAAATTTAGAGTCCACTAAACAGGTCCAGGGAGGATGTGATGTTTTGTCTCGAAAAAAAAAAAGTCCATTCTCCCAAGCGCCAAGCTCTGCGCTCCTCGCCTTGAAGAGCCGCTGAATCAACAAGCTGTGACAAACCAGGACACTACTTTGGCCCGGCATCGCCTCAAGGTGACCGTTGAGGACAGGCAGTTGGGTGCGGTGTTTTGGTCGGATGGTCTTCTTTTGGAGGAGCTTGGTTAGTTGGGAGGCCAGTTCATTTACTTCTGAACAAGATCTGGACTGTGAACTCACATTGCAGTGGGTATCCCTACTCTCCTCAAACTCACCTCGCCCTCACCTGGTCAAGGACAAATTGAGTCAGAGATAGTCAGAGTCATTTTAACCGACCCCCTCCATTTGGGTGAAAAACAGGTTGACCTTTTGGTCCCCTGCTGTCCATTCATCACCCCAACCGCTAAAGAGTCTGTCTTGTTGTCTTTTAGCGGTTTGCTTTGGAGCTCCGGAGCCTCACTTGATTTCTCCTGTGCAACCAAGTCGCTGGCTCAATGGTCTGCAGAAGCCGCTTCAACCTGCGGCCCCCGAGTGTCTAGCGAGTCTAGCGAAGACGGTTGACAACCTTCGGTATAACCAGTGCTTGTCCTCCAAACAAGGGGGTCTCATCCGACAAGTGGCACGACTCAGAAGACAATCAAACAGATCACACACTCACTCAAAGGGCGCCCAACAATGAGGGCACACTTGGGAAGGCTGAGCCAAGAGTTTGGCTTGGGGATCATGATGACAAGCTCGACAACAGCTTGATCAAATGCCCATTCTGCCTCCAGCAGCATAACCCATGGGGCTCAAGCGAACACGCCTCTCTTGCATCTCTGTCTTGGACTCCCAGAACTTGTTCCACCAAACTTTCTCCACCAGAGATGCATCCACCACAGATTGCTCCTCGGAGCGCTGCTGTTTGCGAGCACGAAAGCATGGCTTGAAAGGTTTCACTTGGACGGACTCGTTGTTTGCATGGTGAAGGGTCCCGTCCACGAGATTTACACAAAGACACAGTGAAAGGGCTCAGTGCACGTTAGTGGACATTTCTTCATCCACATTTTTGTCATTCTGATATGATAGGGACTTAAACTCACCTTTCCTATACTTTTGCTTCTCTGGTCCTGTTTCGTCCTTTTTCTTTATCACTCTTGTTTTTCGTCTATGAACATTTTCGAGGAGGAGAAACGCTTAGACTATGCTTCTTATGTACTTCGTTAATATAGATGCAGTCAATCACATTTGGGTCGAATTGCCCAGGTCGTTTCGTGTGGTAAAAGGGTCTGATGTCTACATGCATACTTTTTTTCCTGCAAAAGGTTTCTCGGGGTTGGTTTTCTCATGGTTTTCTCTTGCAATGATTTCAGAATATATGGCATATATGGCGCCACCCTGTGGCTCGCCATTTGTTTAGATGGGGATACATATTCTATGGTGAACCAGGGTTATACACTCCGATACACTCTATATTCCTGATGTTTGTGCCACTGCGTGCTATTAGCTCCTCTCTACATATATATATATACTCCCCATAATATACAATATGTATACAGCATGTGTGAACAATTGAAAGACTCAATCCAAACCCCGGTCGATCCAAACGTCCGACCCCGGTCAAACCCGATGGTCGGACCCCCAACGGTCCCCTGAGTATCCCCATTTCGATGTCTCAGCTTCCTCAGTGCATTCGGTCCACGTGGCCTCCACCTCACGTGGCTTCCATGTGATGACCGTGCCGTGTGAAAAATACGCGCACGCGTATGGCAGGTGGGACACGCGATTCAGGCGGTGCTGACCAAAAGCCATTGGTTGGGTGACTCCAAAAAAAAGGTCATGCCCAGATAGTATTTCAATCCCAAGAACAGCAGTTCCATCTCAAGCCAAAGGGTGCCACAAGAAGGTCTCAAGCGAAAAGACCACCCAATGGACTGCAAACCAGAACACAAGACTACTCTATCGATCTTGCAACTTGGAAGTTGTTTGCAAGCTGGTTCACCTGTGCCTGGGAACTCCTGTTGAGATATCTATGCCTGGGTTTGCCTCTCTGGAGCCTGGAGCAATGGGAAAACATTTGACAGATCCGAGCAAGTCCAAAGTCAATCAAGTTACATCCCAACATCAGCCAATACTGTATCTAGTAATATCATCCAGTTTTCTGCATTCAGTTTACAGTATATATGTCAAGTTATATCCTATCTTCAGAACACGGTGGAGAGATTCCCAAGGCGCCTCCCAAAAGTCAACATCTCAAACATCACTGCTGGCCCCATCCAGTGGGTTCAGGCCTCGATTTTGCGTTTCGAGCGCCCCACTCCGGTCACCGAATTGGCCAGACTGAAGTACTGATCTGGTCCACAACTGAAGTACTGAAGGGGCTTGGAATCCGAGCCAGAACAGGGTGTACAGCAAATTGGTTGCTAATCCCGTCCAGGCGCTTTTCTCAGCTCCTCCAATGCGCGTGCCATGACTCCTTCACCCAGCACGCGACTGCGGGAGTCGGGACCTGCCAGCGGCCAAGCGATCTCGCGCGCGTCGGGCAGCAGCGTCAAGCGCTTGGCGCTCCTGGAGCTGTGGGGCCCAGTGGTTTGCAGTGGTTTGCTAGACACACCTGACCAATCGGGGAGACCTTCACTAGGTATCGCCTACGATCGAATGAGCACCACACCCACGAAAAGACCCATGCCCAGTAGCGTTAAGTCTGGCGATGGTTCTCTAGAAGCCAAGCTCTGCTGACTTCAAACCCAGGTGACCCAGGATCTGGAGGTAGAAGTGCTCCTACGTCTCTGAATACGGCGACTTGACAGGGGGAAGGTGGACAGCAAAGGAAGAGGTCAACCTCTGAATACATCCCTGTTTTAGACCAGGGTCCCTTGCACACCTCCTCTTTCTGCCAGTTGGCAGCCGCCCTCGTTTCCCTTAGGCAAGACTGCCTGTTGGAGCCGCTAGGCATCCGCCTGCTAAAAATGTCAAACCGACCGACCCCTGTTGTGAGGCACAAAATTCGTCCACTTCCATGCATTCGTAGTTGAAGAAGCACTGAAACTTTTGGGATTCTGAAAGTATTCAATTAAGCACTGAAACTGCAATTCTGCACCCAACAAAGAATCACTCCACAAAGACACACCCACCCCGGCCGCTCAAGTCACGTGGATGTAACACGTTCCGCTTTCTACATGCGTACGGATGTGAAGATTGCGAAGGTATGGAAGTTGATGCGTCAACGACTATCCTGTTGGCTGGTCTCTTGCATGCCTATGTAGGGGCACAAATACCACTGAAACTGCTTCGCTGGAGCTCTTGGTTCCATTCTTGGAAACCATTTTATATTCTTGGAGTGCTTTTGAACCTCAAAACTCAAAACCGTGGAGTGTACGTGTGCACTATTGAAAACCACCATTCATCAGTTCACCTTATTACTGCTTCAGTGAAAAAGAACCTTCAGTGCACATTTCTCCAAGTTGCCCGCAAAATCTGCTTTAACCTTCTTTCCCTTTCTCATCTCATACAACAACGTGTTTTCAAAAAACAAAGCAAAACACCCCCATCTTCCGTCTTCCCATCCAAAACCAACACCTCTGGCGAACTCTGGTCATCTCCTCGCTGGCGACTCGCCCTCGGAACCGGCGACAGCCGTGGCCAACAAGGTGGTCTGCAGGGCGCGCGTCAGCGGCGATGAGAAGAGCCGACTCTGCGACCACAGGGCGTCCTGCGCAGCATTGCGACGTGGAGAGGGATGCAAAAAAGGAACAGCCCAGGGGTGGAGGTGCCTTGGCGCATTTACTATATACAGTGTTGAGTTTGAATTTGGATTTTACTGTGGCAAGTGCTTTAAGCAGAGAGGATGAAGGCTTAGCGAGGGTGATGTGGGTGTCCGATGAATGCTTTGGAACATGGTAGGAATGCTGTGGATGAAGGACAATAATTACTGACGATCACGGCTGCTCGTGACACATCCTTGTTGGAGGCTAGATGTTGGATTGTTTACCCATTGAGCTTTTTCCCAGACACCTCAAGCTTCAAGCATACCTCGAGAAATTCAGGCATCAATCGTTACCTCCGTCAGTTTCGAAACATCGTCGGTCTGAGTCTACCTTCCCACTTCTCCCCCCTCAAGGGTGACCTGGATGACCAACCCTTGTAGGACGTAGGATCCTTTTTTGCCTACTCTGACCCTCCAAAAAGGTGGAAAGTGGTCAGTGCCAGACCCGTTCCCAAAGGAGACCAGCCCCGTGACCCGACCGGCGGTGCGAGATCCCGCGCCTGTGCCGCCGCGTCTCGCAGGCGCTTGGCCTGCTGGATGCCCTGCTCAGTCAACGGATGATCCACCTTCCAGGTTGCATGTGCTGTTCAGATCTCTTCAGTCCGCGTGAGTTTTGCGTGGAGTTACGTGGAGTGAACATGTGGGGCCAGTGAGTTACGTGCGTTGGCTGCCGTTTCAGAGTCAACTGGCTTGTAATTCTTTGGAAGGCAATTCCCTCCTATGGTTGGATATCGACATCATTGACTGGGTACTGTTTTCTCAAGCATTAGCTCCTATCTGATGGTTAACAGGACATTGCACTCCAAAAGCAGAAAGTGGAATCGACCAACGTTGGGCATATCAGGATTGCCTTTTGCTTTCGACCAAACACCGCAGAACATCGGGATATATTGGGACATCCACAAGTTGGTGTGACAAGTTTGGTCACTCCAGAAAAGCATTGCTGGCACTTGATGAATCAACACTACGAGGATGGAGATGCAGCATCATCCTAACCCAGCTGGAGTCTTTGGACAATTCCACCAGTCAAACTTGAGACTTCCTAACAAAAAAAGGGGTGCCTTCGCAATGATTGTTCTTTTAGATCTCAGTTCTTTTGTGATATATAAATGATGTGGTACCTTCACCATACTGTATAATTACAGGGGCAAAGGCTTTCTATGGTTTACGGCGTAAACATGGTGTTTCTTCTTTAACCATTGGGTGCACTAGACTCTTCTTTAGTCACTCTTCAAAGGCTGGGGATCTGCATCAGCGATCTGCATCAGCGAGCTTTCTGGTTGTTGTGCCCGATCGGCCAGCTCTTTGTTTAAACATGTTTTGTTCGCTCCACACCCCCCTCCCACCTTCCATAGGGGACTATGAGACTAGGTGACCCCTCCTTCTGAAGGACTGGAAGTGGGACCATATTGGACCATACACACCCCGGCCATGGGGGGGCGGCACTCCCGCCTGGGAGAACATCTGCCACAAATCCCAGCGCTTCGCGGCTGAATTCCAGGTGGACTCGCCATGCCGCACCAAGTACCTCGGCCGGAGCAGGTATTTTGGATGCTGTTGGGTCGATGACAAAAGTCTTTCACTGGAGAATCTGTGAGTTGTATTAAGATAGGGAGACCTCCCAGAGGCCCTCTGGAAGCACAATAGACTAGTCTACCCAGCCAACGTTCCTCGGGCAAACATGCAGAACTCATTGTTTTTGAAACAGGCAGCCACATGCGGTGCACGAATACTGTATGGCATGGCATGGCGGAACATAGTGGACTAATGTTGACAGGCTCCAGCGAGCTCTTGAAACACCGCTCCGTCCAGGAGGCGATGGCCTGCAAACGACATGGGGGGAACCTCCCCAGAACCCCGGCCTGGTAGTGGTGGATTATGGTCACCTTGGGTCTATCCCATTACCAGTAACATCCAGTAACAGTGGACGATGATGGTTCAGTTGCAGGGCTTGTTCAAAAATCTGTTCTTGTTGACTGACAGTTATAGGTACTAGGACGAACCTGATCAGTATACCAGGTGGGGTAGTTGATGAGTCATTTTCCTGGACTTCCACACCACACAGCATGTCACAGCACCGTCACAGCGTAGTACCGTCTCCATGGCCACCTTTTGATCTGATACTTGTCTTCTGGAGAAAGACTTCTTCTCTCTGAGAGGCATATTTGGGAGGGACTGCAGATTACTGACTGGTGCGACTCGTAGGGAATAAGGGAATGAGCCCCCAGTAGAGATTCTATTGGATCCATTCCCTCATTCCCTGCGAGACGCACCAGTCAGATTAGATCTTGAACAAATCCATTTGAACGGCTCTTTTCCTCCCCGTCTTCACGTCATCGACCCGAGCTGCACGTTGAACGTCGCGGAACGCGTCGCCGAACTCCGCCACACGGATCTTTTCCCTGAGTTGTCATGGAATGCCCTTCCATACCCTGCGGTGTTGTTCTTTTTTTGCTTCCGCGACGTTTCATGCCGAAGGCAGTATGAAGTCCCAAAGTCCACATTTGAGTCTTGCAAAAAGAAACAGATGGGATTCTTGCTTAGGCCTGATGCTGTTTGTATTGGCTTGTCCACATCTGAGCAACACATTTTCGAACCCTCCAATCAATGCGTTTGGGTCTATTTTACTTCTTCCACGGGGTTCTTTGGAGGCTTCCCCTATGAAAAACACACGCACTCATATGCAGCACAAATATGATGCACATGTCACATGCCAAAAAAAACCTCAACTACGTATAGTGTTTTCCACGTGTTCTCCACGTGTTTTTTCCATGTCTTTTCCACCTTCCGAACTCCGAAACCAAAACCACCGGGTGACTCGGTGACTTCCGAACGATCCTCCCGGTTTTGGTCACCTGCGACCGTCCGTGTGGGTCTGGAGGGCGCGGAGGGACGGTCTACCCCCCATGACCATGGATGTAGCGAGTCTGGTGACTGCTGTAGTCCACCTCGAAACGCTCTGGTGGGTGTGGAATACACACCCATGCTGCAGGCTTACATGGAGGTCGTATACTTGCAGGTTTGATGAGGATCCATGGGGATTCCAATGTGAAAAAGGGGAGAATCCATGGTGGAATCGCAGGAAACAGTCTCCCCATGCTCCGCGCACCGAAAACGGCTCCACGACCGGACCGGTCCGGTGGCCCGGCGACACAGCTGACCCGGCGTCAAGGCCAGGACCTCGGTCGGTCGACTCGGTCCGAAGACGGTTGCAGCGATGGTTTTACCATCCATCTGTCCTATAGGGACTTTTTAGCTCGTATAGTTCGCTTTCTCTGAGTGTGACGTCTCTACCTGAAACACTTCTGATTTTTCTTTCTACCTCGAAACAAAAAGTGGAATAGTGCCATCAGGCATTCTAATCTCTGAAAAGGGATGTTATTCTGTTCGGAGACGTCTCTGATGATTTGCTTTTGATTTGATGTCGCTTCTTCTGACTCGAATTGATGGCGATGCTACGCGTCCTTGCAAGGAGTGGGTCGGGCGGGATGTTTTGGCTGGGAGTCTCGGAGAACGACCATCATCGGTCGAAAGTCCTGTTAGGAGGGTTTTAGGGTGAAATCTTCACGTAGCAAGAATCCGTGGGAACTGGCAACTGACATCTAGATCTGCTGGGGCGAGATTTGGGGCAATAGTTCAACTCAAGAGCACCTCAATAGAAGCAGACTGCCCGTATCCCCCTCCACCGATCATGACGAATACGACGGTTCTGGTAGTTCAAGGCATCATAAGGCATCTCACTTCTGTTAATCATGGATACGGCAAGCTGAACCCAGTATCCTGACAGAAAGAGAGAGACAAAAAGAGAGAGAGAGAGAGGAGCTTCCCTCAAAGGCCAAGGTTGAATACTTTGCCTGGGCAGGCTTACACGGTCTTACCATACCATCTATCCATTGGTGGATCCTTGCTGGACACTTCTGCTTGCCATCGCTCTCTTGCTGAGGTGCTGCAAGGCTCAGCAATGAGCGGCGCATCATCGGGCCATCGCGCGCGTCCACGCGCGGGTGTCGCAGTGTTTTCGCCGTTGCGGCGATGATGTTCTGAACGTGTCGCAGATATTCACAGATCAGGTGTTGAGAGGACAAGCAAATCCTTCCAAAAAGGCCCCACTTTTTGCTGGAGTTGCTTCTTCCAAGGAGAAGAAACAACAAACATGTTGCTTTAGACCCACCTCGAAGGATCCAAACCCAGGTCGGTCTCCTTTCGTCAAGAGAGAGTTGGCGACAGTCAGAGACCTGAGAATACATTATAATGCTCTGATTCTCTCTGCATCTTCTTAGCTCAATGCTTCGCCAAGTGGATTTTTCATGAGCCCAAGGCAGCGGCTCGCTTTGGCAGCTGGGAACAAAACCATCAGGGAGCCCTGAGTTTCTGTTTGGCTCTGCAAAAGCTTTACGAAACATATCCATATATATCCATCAAGGACGTCCCTGTTTTTTAATGGCTGTGCCCCCGCCCCCCAGGGCCAGTGCCCCAAAACACGACCAAGACGGTGTTTGCCGTGGATCCTTCCGTCTGCGGTAGGTGCACGGAACGAAGGATATTTCTATTCCATGGGACTGGAACAGTTGCCAAGATTTACCCGAATTATGAGGTTTATGACCCCAAATCTCGGCCATCCCTCTAGATATGCCGTGGGATAGTTAGAGCCAACAGCCAAGGGTGGCACATGTCAACCGTTCTGTTCATTCTGGCGATGTGAATCGCCACATGAAATCAATGGAATCCACTAACCACAAAGTCTTGGTTTATATATGATAATATACCGTTGACAACTTTTAACCTATATTAATCTATATTTAAGCACCCGACGAACTCAGGACCTCCGCTCGCTCCACTCGATCGGTTGGGACGCAAAAGGACCTCGTCTTGGCGCTCGTCTCGATGAACATCATCGACTGGGCGAAGGCAAACTCCTGCCGCGTCGGCTGCGAGGCCGTGCTGCACGGGTGCTCCACCTTTTGCGTCTGCAGAAGCGCGACAGGCAAGAAACACGTCTGCAGAAGCGCAGGGTCAACTTAGGCATTTGCAAGCAGCAAGCAGCAAGCGAGAGAGAAAGAACTCATCTTTCCTAGTTTGAGGATTCACTCACCCAAAGGCTCATTGCCCCCTCATACTAAGTAGCTAGGTCTTGACCCTCACAACTAGGGTGAACTGGATCCTTCACCATGTAGCAGGCAGGTGAACTGGACCGGCTCAGTTCGGGTCCCAAGAGCCTCTGAGCTTTGGAACCGAAATCCACATCATCGGCAAACACTGCAAAACGGGGTCATCACCTTTCGGACACACCTTTGGAACCGCCAACCCGCCCGCCAGCCCGCTGTGGGTGTGGGAACCAAGCGATTTTTCCCGGACCGGTGACGTGAATGTCCCGACACCGGAGTCGGTGTGGGTCTATTTTGTAAACATGGATCTTATCATATCTTAGTCATGTAGTTAAGAACATATCTATCTTATAATACTTAAACTTAAACTGATAAGACTGATCTGATCCTATCTTTGTAAACATGATCGTATAGTCTTGGTCTTCACAAACCGACCTGTTCCTTCTCCTCGCCGACGAACCGACTCCTCGAACGAACGAACGAACGAACCGTCTCGCCCGACTCTCCTCGCCCTCCGTTCTCGAGACTTGCACCTCCGGTAAATCCACCTGGACCGAATTGGATCGATCGTCGTCTCGTCGATGGACCGGGAGATCGTCGTACGGACTGAAGCCTTCTTCTTCCACCCAACGACGGAGGGGAGTCGTACGGTTCCGTCTCGGTCTCTATACTTTGCATATCACCCGATGATGATCCATGTAGATGTGGCCTACACAGATTCACCACCAAGAAACCCACCGAATGTGTCCAAATGTAGGTGATATTTGCTGACATGGATCGTTTGGATAGGGTGGTCTGACCCCTCAAAAACCGAGTAACACCAGGCGCATCTATCGGTTCCGGGTCGAGCCGCTAAACCCTTGCTGACGTGAACCTTAGGTGCTTTCCTCTCCACCGGGGCCGTTTTCTGGAAGAACGATCTTTTAAGCATGTTTGACAAGTGGTTAAAGAGAAACGAATTGGTTGGGATGCCCTGTCGCTTGACAACTGGTTCTTTAATGTTCTTTATACATTTCTGCCATTCCATCATCTGTTTGACAAGTGGTCAAAGAAAATGTTTGGTTGGCATATGTTGGGATGCCCTGCATTTTTCCTGGGCTCTTTGGCTCGTGCAGTTGTTGGGATGCAAACGACAGCATCCAAATCGGAAGGCACCGTGGAACCTTGGAGCAAACCTTCTTCTCCAGTCCCTTCGGCACTGGTCAAACACACCAATCCACTTCCGATGTGGAAGGATGATCTCAGCATTCTCCGGAGCGCTCGACGACAACCGGTCCGAGAACCTGCAGTGGTGACCTTCGTTTTGAAGGTGAAGGTGGGTGAACGGAGGGTGCCGGGCGGAGTTCTGCCCGGAGCCTGAATGGGGAGGGATCTCGACGTTGCTGGTTCTGGGGATTCGGGCATCACCCGAAAGGCAAAACAACACCTTCGACTCCAAGGGGACACCATGTGATTTGAAGATGGCACTTGAAATCACTTCATCGACCTGTCTTTTTGATCCATGGATCCATTCTCAGATGCCATTTCATCCAACCATCTCCAACCTCTGCGACTCGACGAAGCCAATTCTGTTGGACGCGAAGGGACGCCGCTCGGACGCGAAGGGACGTCGCCTTTGCGAAGCGCGAGAGGGACGGCTTCAGGGACGTCGTGCGACTGGGTCCACGACTCACGGGGGACACGGGGGTCACGGAGCCGCTCAGGGCCTTGTTCGAAACCAGCATCAGAATCGCATCCTGATTGGTGGAATACCTGCCAGCGGACAGGAAGGCGCTGCTCTGACATCAGACCCAGTGCGGTAAACCTTACCACCTAAACACTGCTCCAGATTCCGTGCACGCCACAAGACTCGGCAGAAGAAGGCTAGGATCTCTTACCAGGAAAAACATGGAACAAGATGCCAACCCTTAAGTCTCCGTACCATTATCCCCCCCTCTCCATGGCTTCGGCTTCAGGCGCGATTGCTCAGGCACCACTCAACCCCCCCCAGTTCATCCCAGGTCGCCAGCCAAGACCCGACCTGATGTTCGGACCCTCGACGGACGTCATCCGACGGACGATCCGGACCCGGCCTTCGAACCTCATCTTGCCAATACTTCACGTGCTCAAAGGTACTCCTCTGCGTGCAATCATAGCCTCGGGTGGTGCGATTTTCGTGAACACGAACGAAATGAAGCGAGTGGATGATGTGATGCTGACGGTGTTTTTTTTTGTAGGGCCAGGGCTTGTTTTGGGAGACTGAACTGGTACCAGTCGTGTTTGAACTATAGGATTGCCACATCACAAGACGTGCATTCCTTAGTTTTTAGATAGCCTAGTATTACAGCCAGTGTCGTATTTTTGATGGGTTCGATGCCTTGGGACCTGATTATTTACAGCTTCAGCCACTGATCCTGATAAGAGTTTGGGTGTTCTGCAAACACAAACGTCGTGACATACGTGGCGCATGTGGACTAACTGCGGCACATCCGCTGAGGATGTTGGCCCCTGGAGTCCTGCTTTCGACCAAGGCTTATCAGCCTGGTCAGGAGAAGCACTGAGGCGTTCTGTTCTCGGCAAACTCAGGAACCACGGCATGGAACTCGGTATATCTCTCTGAAGATCTGCGAACCCAAATCAGGATGGGCTTCACTCGTGATGGGCTTACGTTGGGATCGGACGTTCCGCTCTTTCGCTGCGGCTTCGGTGACGATGCGCCCTTCAGGCGACCGATGCCCGCGGAGTCCACCGCAGCCGTCCACCAGGGGCTTCGACCAGCAAGTGAGGCGACTGAGACAAAGGCCTAGGGCCCCAGTGGTCGACTTTCCTCAGGTGACTTTCCTGGCACCCAGGGGTGCTGGCCCAGCTCAGGATGTGGGACAGGTGCAGGGAAACTGTCTTCCCACACCAGGTCTTCCCCAGTGGTCAGGGAATTGCACGCCATCAGGTGCGCGGGGATCGGAGGTGACCGGGATGAGGAATTCACCACCCGAACGCCATCCCGGGTCATCCCCCCAAACGACGGGTCACTACGCTTTGCTCATCGTGCGCACGGTTCATTGGTTCAACAGCAAACCAGCTATGAGGTTCAATCCGTGCTGTCTGATCCGTCCTGACGGGACAATTACACAGATTTGGACCGTCGAAATGGATGGTCCTTCCATGACGAGCCGTTAACTAGGCTCGTCATCCCCACCTTCCGAACCTGAAAGGCGTTCTTTCAGGGTCTGGTCGCTTTCTCTTGGCTTCGGAGGCGTGGTCTGGTCCCGTCATGAGCGTCGCTTCAGACCAGGAGCAGTGCCAGTCATGAGCTGTCGTGCCAACGATGGAGTTTTTGGTCGCGGAGTGCCAGGCCACAGCTATGTGCTGTGGCATTTCTCGGAGTCCATGGTTAGAAAAGGATCATCTTCCCCTCATTGGATTGTAGGACTGGAGCGGAGCTAGTCAACCCCTATAGCCTATAGTGGCAGTTCGTTCTTGTGTTCTCTCTGCCGTAGGATGATGGAGACTATCAGCTTAGTAGCCTAGCGGTTGCAACACGCAAGTACTTACGTGGAGTATTTGCCCCTACACCTTCCCAGCCGCTCATTAGATATTCGATGCAAGTCATTGGAAAGAAGGGTCAGCGGCAGACTCTGATCCTCATACTCTTGCTTCATTGGGATAGGCCGAGAGGCCCATTTGTTGGAGGCTGCGACTTGGTGCCAGCATCACGTCTACTAGCCACACTCATTACCATCTTTCTGAAATACACCGGTCGCCAGGGTCCTAACTTCTTCGTGCACTGGTCGTGGGTCTGGGTGCATGCATGCCCTTCGTGATCGAACCACGCGTGAAAAAACGGTCGGTCGCCCTGCAAGCAACGCCCTGCTTGCGATGGTGGACAAGGCACAAAGGATGATTCCTTGCGCGCCTCTGTAGTACCTCCAAAACATTGACATGATGAGTCCATGAAGTACCATCCATCAAGTACCATCTGGTGCCTTCCAGTCTCTTGTAGGGCAGGTGCCTTCCGCCGCTGGCGGTCCCACTAGATCTTGTGGCGGATTGATGGTTAGAAGTGCTCAAATGAAATGGACAACTGGTGTTCTATAAATAAGATCAGTTAGGACCCTACCAAAGACACCTTCTAGTTAGGACTGGACACCTTCTAGTTAGGACCCTTCTAGAAGTTATGGATGGTAGTTTAGGTCCACGTCCCTACCTACGGTCCAGTTCACTGTTTGACTTCAGCTCCCAACAAAATCCAACAAATGCATTTGGTGAGTTGTGCCCCCCCTTGACCGCAGGAAAACGTCGGCAAGCACAATCAGCTCGACTTTTGCTGTCTCACTTTGAGGCATCGTTGAGCGTCTTTGAGCAGTCCACTGGTACAGAAGGTAGGTCTTTTGGAAAACGACCTGGCAACACCTTTGGTGACGCCCGAAATACTGCCTGGCATTGTGGATCAATTCGTCTCTGCCTCAGGCTCTTCGGCAGACTCCTTTTCAGGCTCCTCTGCCTCTGCCTGCTTCTCAGCTGTCTCGGGCTCCTTGGCAGACTCCTTCTCTGGCTCCTCTGCCTCCACCGCCTTCTCAGCTGTCTCGGGCTCCTCGGCAGACTCCTTCTCTGGCTCCTCTGCCTCCACCGCCTTCTCAGCTGTCTCGGGCTCTTCGGCAGACTCCTTCTCTGGCTCCTCTGCCTCCACCGCCTTCTCAGCTGTCTCGGGCTCTTCGGCAGACTCCTTCTCTGGCTCCTCTGCCTCCACCTCCTTCTCCTCTACATCTTCCACTGCCATTGAAGGCTCATCGGCAGACTCCTTTTCTGGCTCCTCTGCCTCAGGCTCTTCGGCAGCCTCCGTCTCAGGCTCTTTGGCAGCCTCCGTCTCAGGCTCTTCGGCAGCCTCCTTCTCTGGCTCTTCGGCAGCCTCCGTCTCAGGCTCTTCGGCAGCCTCCTTCTCTGGCTCTTCTGCCTGCACCTCCTTCTCTTCTACATCTTCCACTGCCATTGAAGGCTCTTCGGCAGACTCCTTCTCTTGATCGTGATCGTCGTCATGATCGTCTTTATCATGATCGTCAGCATCATCTTCCTTGGTCTCAGCTTTCTTGGCTTTCGCCTTCTTTGCCTTCTTCAGCTGCTTGCAACCAATCTTGCCGTATTTGCAACACATTTCCAGCTTGGCCACCGAAGCATCCTCCTCCACCGTGGTGCAATCCACCACTGAGTGATGCTCCAAGCCACCCAAGGAATTCTTCGTCCATCCTGGGACAATGGAACTGGCACCAAAGTGAATCTGATCCATGTCGGCTGGCATAGCAAACGAACCTCCGTGTGCTGTGTAGTGAACCTGATTCATGTCCGATGGCATTGCAACGGAATCACCATAGTTGACCTGATCCGCTGGCACGCTGAAAGAAGAAGCACCGTAGTCGACTTGATCTGCTGGGACGCCGAAAGAAGAAGCACCGTAGTTGACTTGATCTGCTGGGACGCCCAAAGAAGAAGAATCCCCTGTAACAGAAGAGTCAACGTCGCCAACAGTAGAATACCCTGTAGCAGAAGAATCACCCACCATAGAAGAATCACCGTAGCTGACTTGATCCACTGGCATGCCGAAAGAAGAATCCACAGGCGTGCCAAAGGAGTGAAAGTGATGGACATGTGTGACATGTGAGCCCTGGTGAAACTGAGGCAAACCTGGCATAGCAATTGAACTATGAGCGAAGGATTTCACTCCGCCCATGAATCCATGTGAGCTTACCATACTGTACTCTTTGGTCGGATCAGCCACCGAGGAAGACACACCTGGCGCTGACGGAGAAAGACTCACGGGGAGTGTCGGTGTGTCGTAGCGCACGACGCCGGCGTGCCTCTGGACCCGAAATAGATGGATACAAATCAAATATACATATATATAGTTATAGATAGGTCAAATTTGTGTATATGCAAACATCGTACTCACATATATATATATATTTGTATATGGTACCCCCCAAAAATCTACCATTTTTGTTTCCTTCACTTGCTTCACGGTTGTGGATGTTCATCCAATTTATTGAAAGGGGAATACCATATATATATATATATGTCTTATTGTATGCTAACTGTTGAGATGCTCACTGCACATCATTGGTTGCAGGGAAGTACGCGTACAGTACGCGTACTTCACTTCTCAAACAATAATATCTGCTTGTCTTACCTAGTCTGCAGTTCAACAAATCAAATCTAGAAAGTCGCCCACCCTGTATCCTGACATGGCGTCTTCCTTGGGCAGCTTCCCAGTGCATGGCACCGTCTCTGTCCAAAACGGCACACATATATCAAAATATGACATGACTATAGTCCCATCAGGTTATGTTGATAAAAACATTGTAGAACTATAGTCCCATCAGGTTATTTTGATAACAACATTGATACAACAAAACTGATAGAGATTGACAGGACTACAGCCTTTACATGGGCATTTACACAGACTAAATTCATACCGTTTTCTTTTTTTTATGAGTTTGATAGTTGGACACATTACAGGGATGGCATTGATTGACATTAGCAAATTATCTACTTTTATATTGTATACGGTGGAAGTGAAGGCATCAAATGTTTTCAATAAGAGGTATAAATTAATATATGGAAAGTGTTTAAGAAAACTATTGGAAGCAAACAATGAACACATATGTTGCTATAAAATTCCTTCATTCATTCATAAGGTCAATTATGACCAAATTGTTAATGAACTGTGGGAAACCGATCTTACTAAAGATGACAAAAAGAACATAGGACACATCACCTTTGGAATGCTAGAAATCACACAACACCGCACAGAAGAGTTACGGTTTCACACTTTGAGGGAGGCTTGCCATTGCCAGACAAGAAATAGAAAAAAAAGAAGAAGCAACCATGCAATACGTATTACATCTTAAACACCACCAATAGAAATGAATTAGTCAATGGGCTTAGAGATATAAAAGAGTTGCTTCTTCAATATCATAACTTTTCAATGTATGAAGCATAGAATTTTTCAGAAAATGATATTAAGGTCTATTCAGTGGAGAGTGATGCCTTCACGATCCATGAAGACGATTTGACTAGATTGATGGGCAAACCAAATCATTTTATAAAATCATATCAAACTGGAATATTGAACTTTGAAGAAGGCATAGGCAAGTGGAGACTGACAAACACATCAATCAATTTTCAATCACATAAGTACATATTTAGATATAATGACTTAATTGAACTACGAAAACTAGAAAATGAACCAATAGAGGTGGTGGATGAATGGGACACCCCCGGAATATGTAAGCAAATTGAAATACAAAACCCATGCATGATCAGAGCAAAATTTGCTGGATCGGGCAAGAGTTACATAGGTCAAGATTTTAAACAGGTGCATAAACAAATTTTGTTTGTAGTGCCTCATGACCGGTTAAGTCAAGAAATAGAAGCTGACGCAACAACCTATAACAGTTTTTTTAACGCATTCCAATTCATCAGGGGGATGAAGTAGCAAGAGTTTGATCATAACAATTTTGATGTCATCTTCTTTGATGAAACCTATATGACCAATCTTCAAACTTTAAAACGTTACTGAAAAACACAAGGACAATAAACTCATCATAGGCGCCGGTGTGATATAAAAAAATTAGAACCAATCAATGATTTAACAAACACCCAGTCAAAGACCACAATATGGTCAAAATTATTCTGTTCAATTTGTTCTCTGAAATCAGTGAAATTGTCCAAAAGGTTCATCTGATATTTGAAAATATCACTCAAACAGGCATGCAACAGGCAAACATGGTAGATCTTTTGGGGGGGGGTAGCATATGTATATATACAAACAAACACTATACTGTATACATATATACTATACTGTATATATACAAACGCTATATATATACATACATATGTAGATATTAACAATATATATACAAACAAACACTAAATATAAACCTTATATACAATGTCTGTTTTCGTTACACCGTACATCTCAGGCCGCTTGAAACGGCTTCAATTCGCCTCTTCAGGGACAAGTGGGATGCGAGACGCAGGACGCATCCAAACACTCCAAAATATGCCTATATCCCCTGTAACCACCCCAACTGATTGGCATATATGCCAGATATATATATATATACTAGCCCCCCCAAACCCGCCGGCTTTTGGTGTATCTCGAAGTTATATAGTTCTAATTTAGTTTTATGTGAATTCCAATTTTTTTGGTTTCGTTTATATTTCAATTTATTTGTAATTATGTGATTTTTAGTTTCAGCTAGTTTAAATCTTATATAATTCAATTTTAGTTGTTTTACAATTCTAGTGATTCTAGTTTAGTTCTATTTTACAATTCTAGTTTAATTCTAGTAAAATCTCAATTTAATGACAATTGAAATCCTAAATGATCCAATTGTAATTCAACTCTAACTGAATTCAAATTCAAACCTATCTAATTCTACTGTAATTGAATGTTAATTCCATTTCAATTATCATTCAGTTGAAATTTAATGTTGAGTACATTCCATATATAACTTACTTTAATTGGAATTCAATGCAATTCTATTTCTAATTTATTTCCACTTGTTTTGCTATAATTTCTATGCAGTGTATATTTAGATCTGATACAATTTTCTTTTTCTACTCTAATATTGGCTTTTTTGCAATTCGAATTTGCTTCTAGAGAGTGCGTGTTGCTTTTAAAATGAAGGCTTTGTATATAATTTATGTGTTGCTTTCTTAAAGGTTGTTTCTTAAAATCACACCCCCACCAAAACCCTCTCTCTAGAAAACGGCAATTAAATGAGACTGCAGTTTGCATTGATTTGGAAATACATTTGCATTGAACTAGAATCGAACTAAAATTAGCTTAGAATTCATCAACATGAAATTGTAAAACAACTGAAATTGAATTGTGTACGGTTTAAACTAGCTGAAACTAAAATTAATTACAAATACACTGAAATATAAACTAAACTAGATTTGAATTAACATAAAACAAAATTAGAACTAACTTCGAGATAAATCAAAAGCAACTTAGACTTAATTTAGATTTGAATTGGAATTAAACTAAGATTGAATCAAAATTCCAATTGTTTCAATTAGAATTGGGTTAGAGTTAAGATAGAATTGAAATAGACTTGCTTAACCTGCAGCTCGATTAGAATTCAATTACTGCAACAATGAATTAGAATTAGACTTGAATGAAAATTAAAAGTTAAAATGACATTTACAATAGGAGTAAGTTAGAATTGACTTAACATAGAATTGGAGATTGAACCTACACTTAAATTAGAAATCAATTAGATTCAAAATTGAGTTCAATCAGGTTCAAATTCGAATTTAAGATTCCAAATTGAGAATTAAGTTAGACTTAAACAATGAAAGGCTGATTATGTGGTAAAACCAAAGAAACGACACAAAGCAGCTTCAGGGGCCTCTCTTACCTTGAGCCAAAATTAGTAGCGCTCGAGGAGGTCAAACCCTACCCTTTGGTTGGATTCGTTCTGTACCCCCCTCCTGCGAGAGTTTGCGAACTACTGCGAATGGTGATCAGGCATTGCGGTCGAACGACAAAGCTAAGGCCCTCTTGCTGCACGGGAAACTCGACATTGACTAATTTATTCTTTGCGAATCTGTACGGAGCTAGTCTATGACGAGTGATTGCATATGGAAAAGACATGTGCTTGTGGAAGTTTGGTCTGTTCATTCCTGGGTGCATGGGCGACAGTGCTACTCCTTCCTGAGAACTGATCTCATATTCCAACCTAATTTTGGGATACGCAATGCACGACACTTGCAAGGCGCGGCACGCCACAGCACACTGCAAGAGCAAACAGATGCGCCTCCTCATGCAACCTTTGGTCCCTACCAAGGAGTCGCCAAAATGGCTTTCCAACACAAGAACTGATCAAGGCTGGCTCAACAAGGAACGGGTCTATTTAGGCATTTTTCGGTTCTTTGTACGGATCAAAAACTCCAATCATATCAAGCGCTGACTGCCACTCCAATCATATCAAGCGCTGACTGCAGCTAGCTGCTCTGTCGGACAATGTTGGATGCTAATATCCGGCTCTTTGAAAGCATCGTAAAGACCTTTGAACATTGACTTTGTGGGCTTTCCCTAAATGCCTAAGGCGAGCGCTGTATCAATTTTTAGTTACTTGGATGGTGGCAGTGTTGTCTTGATGACAGATTAAAGGTATTGATACTCCTAGCAATTTTGACAAGAACTCTTGTGCAGGGATAGCATCGCTGAACACCGCAGTGGCCAATGCAATTGCTTCAGCCTCTGTTGTCGATCTGCTGCCGGCTGTTTGTCTCTTTTGACTGGAACGTTACAGGAAAGAAAGAGGAACCTCCAGCTATTGTAAGCAGGGAACCTGAGGTCGAATAACCATGATCTGTCTTGGATGCGTGGTCAGCATCCGTGAACAGCCACAGTACCCAATCGGCATCAGGATCTAGTTTCATCCTCATTCCAAAATGCTTCGTGCCATTGAGATAGCAGAAAACCCTGAACAGTCTTCTGTCATCGTTCTTACTGCATCTTGTGATTCTTTTACTTAGCTCGTTTAGTACATGAAGCAAGTCTGGCCGGCTCAGCCTTGCAAGCCAGTAGGCTTTCATGATCAGCTTGGCTGCTGAATTGGCTAAGTTGCCCTTACTGTCCCAATCCTCTACTGGTAGCGAACTTTCATCAAGATAAGGAGTTGTAGCTTTCTTAAAGCCTTTGAAGTTGTTGCATTCTTGCTCATACAGTTTGCACGTGACATCTGCGAAATCACGCATGTCAAGCTGAACTTCTCCCT